CCGTTCGGGCCGGCGGGAGCGGCCGGAGCCGCCTGGGGGGGAGGACCTGGCCCGGGTCGGGAAGGGCCCGGAGGTCACCGAACCCCCTCCGGGAGTCCGTCCCGTCCCGGCTCCGGCGCTGATTTTGTCGCACTAAAAGTGTCCTGTCCCCTGTCACCCCTCCCCGCCCCGCCGCTGTGTCCTCCCTGCCCCGGTGACACCTGTGGGAGGTGCGGGAGGAACCGTCAGGGTAGGTGGCCATCCCTGAACCCCCTTCCGTGAGGGGCCGGGCACCGGGCAGAGGGTCCCCCCGACCCCCCGGGAGGACCCGGGTGTTGGGGCACCGGGCAGAGGGTCCCCCCGACCCCCCCCGGGTGGGTTGTGTTGTCCTGCACCGCTGACACCCGGAGCAGAGGTGGTGACACATCATGTGCCAGGCGGAATCCCGGTGGATGAAGGATGCCCCCGGGAGCTCTCGGTAGGCACCGAAGGCCTCAAACTTTTGTAGGCGAAAGCGAAGACACGAGAATTGTTTCAGAAAACTCCTTCAAGGAAACTTGGTTCCAGCTCCCCAACGGCTGAACCCCCCTCTCCGGCCCGTGCTCCCGGGAGGGCGGCGGGAACACACCTTCCCACCCCGGCTGGGAATCATGAGCTCCTAGGGATGGAAAGTCACGAGAGGGACTGGGAGCTGCTCTGGTTCCATGGGGTGGCCTGACGGCCCGGAGATGACCTAACTCTGCAGGATCAAACTGGGCCCAGTCAAGGCCAATTGACTGGGAAGAGCCCCCGGCAGTGGGACCGGGTCGGAAACAAAACAAGTCCCAAACTGAGTGTGTCCCGTCACAAATTTATGTTCTTTTTCAAAGACATTTTGGAGCCAGGCCGGGATCTTTTGGCATCCAACTGACCTGGAAGCAGCTCTTAGGTTTGGTTTTCTTTTTTATTTTTTCCTTCTGTTTTTTGGTTGTTTTTTTCTTTTTATTATTATTCATGTTTGTACAATCTTCTGGATATTTTTTTCCCGAGAAGGAGTAAAAGGGAGTGTTGGAAACTAACAAACAGGATTAAAGCCCTGAGCGCTTAAGGAAAAAACAGGTTAAGGAACTTAATCCAGGATGGATCTGCAGGAGCCCCAGCAGCTGGGAATGTTTGCGGAGAGTGAGCTGATGTCGGTGGGGATGGACACGTTCATCCACCGCATCGACTCCACCGAGGTCATTTACCAGCCCCGGCGCAAACGGGCCAAGCTCATCGGCAAGTACCTCATGGGAGACCTGCTGGGAGAGGGCTCCTACGGCAAAGTCAAGGAGATGCTGGACTCAGAGACCCTGTGCAGGAGAGCTGTGAAGATCCTGAAGAAGAAGAAGCTGCGCCGGATTCCCAACGGGGAGGCCAATGTGAAAAAGTGAGTAAAGAGTTCTGGGAGTGAAGGGGGTGAACTTGGTCCTTGTTTAGCAGCTGAGTTCCTGTGTTGTTTTAGCTGACAGCGTGGCTCTGCTGTGGAAGTGCTTCCTAATCCACAGGTATTTAGGAATCTCTTCCCTCTGAACAGCGGCCAGCGCTCTGGGTGAGACTGGGCACAAGGAAGGGACAGGTTCCCAAGGACTGAGACAGTCTGGAATACACCACTTTGGTGTCATTTAGAGCATAAATTTGTTTCTTAAAGAAATTCCTCTGTAAAGTCTCACCTTGCCCAGGTGCTGCTGGCTGGGAAAGATGAGGGGACACAAACACGCCTGGTGTCCTCACAGTCAGGGTTATTCCTGTACCTGCCCAGGTGTATTTCAAAGGCCCTGGAGCTCTCTGTGCTTGCAATTCCTTCTCCCACCCATGTGGAAGGTGCCTGGAACAGGATCCAATATATGGGGCACCCCCTGGGCACAGAAAGTTTTGGGTTTTTCCTTGGCTTCATTTCTAAGGTCCTTGAGAGGTGACTCAAGGCTCTCCGCAGCTGATTTCTGTGCCTGTAAGATGGAGCCAAGGGTTCTCAGCTCTCTGGTTACTCAGGGTACAAAGCCCTTATGGAAGCGAACCCCAGGAGAAGTCAGATGCGGGGCTGGATGCGTGGAACTGGTGTGGGAACTTTCCTTTCCCTGGACCTCGCAGCAGCTGGGTCCCAGCCCTGCCAGGAGCTGCTTATCAGCCGTGCAGGAGCCACTGCAGCCCAAACAACCCATGAGGGTTTATCTAGGCTGGGAGGGAGAACTCTGAGAGGTCGAGGAAACTCTTGTGGTGTTCTGCTGCGGGTGAGCCCTGACCTACAGAGTCCCGAGTGTATCATTCAGTTTGATTTCCCAGTTTAGCTGTGAGATATTTCACATCCTGTCCCAGCACTGCTGTCAGGGAGCTCTCTCACTTTGCCTTCTAACCTTTCTTGACGGCCTTGGCTGTGGAGTAGTCACATCCCAAGGCTGGGACCTCCCTGTCTCTCCCTTCCTGGCTCAGGTTCAGGATCAAGCAAACTTGGTTAATGTGTAATAAAATGTTTCTTGTTTTTCTGGTGGAAGCCGAGAGCCTCATCCCTGGGTCCTTCCACGGGCACATCCAGAGCTGCTACTGGGGAACATTTCCTCCTTAGGGAAGCTTTTAATGTAAATTAAGTAAAAAGAGTTTGCCCACATCAGGAGAGTTCCCTGCTCTCAGAGCCATGGGAATGCTTCTGTGTCCTGAGGTGAACTCCATGGAAGTTTTATTCATGCTCAGAGTGGGGCTGTGAGTATCAGATGGGTCATTAAGGGAGTTATTAGAAGGGGTTTTCTGTGGACATTTCCTGGCTCAGCCCCACCTGCTCCAAAACACCAAGGCAGATTTTAGGTCTTGGCTTGTACCCAGGGGTTTACTTTAGTTCAAGTTCCTATTTCTGTTCCCTCACCCTTTTCCCTCTGCCCACCTATCCATGTGCTTTATCTGCTGCTTCAGTGGGGAATTTTAAGGCAAACTGTTGTATTTTGTGGTCCCTTGGTGCTCTGAGCTTATCAGAACCCTTCAGCACTGCTGAGAGAGGGAGTGAAAGCTGTGTCTGTTCTGAGTGTGGAGATATGTGACCAAACCCAGGTGTCTGAGTGGTCAGTGTGGGAGGAACAAAGTGCTGTGGGTCTCCAGGTAGTGCTGGACAGACACTGACACAGTGTTTTAATGTCAACATGGCCAGACTGCACTGGAATCTCACTTTGGGCAGCTGTGTTAGAGCTGCTTTGAGGGGTTTACACCCAAAAACTGCTCCTGTGCACAGAACAGCAGGAAATCAGTTTGTGGGCTGGATCACATCATCAGGTTGTGCTTTCTCTCTTGGAATCTGATCACTGAAGTGGTTTCCAAAGGGAAAAGCTGCACGTGAGGCTTGGGATGTTGGGCAGAGGTGATTGAGCTACTGTGGTGGGCTCCTGCCTCTGTCCCCTCACAGGGCACCTCAGTGCTGCTTCAGTGGTGCTGATAGCAGGTCATCCAAGGAATTCCCTGGAAAACAGTTCCTAGACTGTGGCCCTTGGGTAATTCCACAAGCAGTAACACACAGGGAGTAATGAGTGTGCAGTAATGAGCTGTGGAGGATCACGCAGGTCCTGAGCTGGGCCTTGGGCACCTGGAGATGTTGGGCTGGAAATAGGATGTTAATGCCATTCTTGGGTCACTCCTTGCTGATATCCCAGGCCACAGCATCATCCCTGCCCCAACCCTGTCTCCTGGTGTTCTGGAGACCCAGAAATTACAACTAAAATGTGTTTGGGACTTAGATCAAATCAAATTGTTTTTCTCTACCCCAAAACACTCCACTTCTGCCCCAGGAAAATGAGCCCTGAAGGGCTTTCCGAGTCCTGGAGAGGATGTTGAGGGCTTAAAACTTGTAAAACACAGTTTCCTTAAATCTATTGAGAGAATCTTCATTTCTCTTTAGAGCAGGTGGAGGTAGCTCAGTCAGGCAGACACTGCTGGATCTCATCCCTGCAAAAAAAAAAGGAATTTAGTGGGATTGCCAAAAAGAGGCAGGAAAACCTGGCAGCCTGTGGCTGCAGCAGCAGAGGTTTAATAACGCCGTGTGTTAATAGCCTGACACGTTAATTAAGTGTTTGGGGCTCTGTGGGATCCCCAGTGCCCTGTGCTGTACTTACCACCTCGGCAATTGCTCAGGTTGGATTTTGTGCTCTGTGGAATTCCTTGGAGGGTTAACCTGGGTTATGGAGCTGTGCTGTGACAGTTTGTTCCTGGGGTCTGCAAGTCCCAAGCTGGAACCTCCAAACAGGGACAGCTTCTGCTGGAAGCCCTGGAGGCGTGGGCTCATGTGGGAATGGGCTGATCCCATCTCCCCAGACACGTGTTCCCCATGGAGCTGCGTGGCTCAAGGACTTCCCCTGCTGAGCTGGATGTTTGCTTGGGTTGAGAGGTGAAATGCTGGGACCTGTACTCCATGGAAGAACACAGGTTGTGGTGGATATAGAGCTTGGAATGCCAGACATCCTTGCAGGAGCAGGATGTGGATGGACCCTTGGGACTAGGTAAACAAAAAAGCGACACCGAGATCTTCCTGGCACTTCCATCCCTTGGGCTCACACAGTCCTGGAGCAGGTGCTGCACTTCCTAAGCTTCCAGGATGTTGTGGGAAGAACCTTGTGAACCAAAGGAAGGGAATGAATCTTTTGGCTGTGTTGCTGGGTTTTGTTTAGGCAGGAATGGCTGGGAACAAGCTGTAGGAGGAACGCTGGATCCCACAGTGGAGATGTCCAGGAAGGAGAGTCTGCTTTCCAGGCTGCCTTTGGCATCTTCCAAAATGGTGTGGCACATGGAACAAGGTGACAGCTTTGCTATTTACAGTTCTGAGCAAAACACCCCCTGTTATTTGCCAGAGCAGGTACCTTGCAGGGGATAAGTCTTAATCCACCAGGATGAGCTTAATGGATCTGACAGAGCTCAAGTTAGAAGGTTTTTTCTCTCCTTGTCTCCCTCCAAGGGGGTTGTACTTGGAAGCAGGCCTTGCCCTCTGGCAGTCTGTCTGGTCACTTGCAGTGGGCTGTGGTGGGGTTTTGTTGTTAATTTTGGAAGAAAAAAAAATCCAATTTAGGCCTGTTGTGAAGAGGTGAGACCTATTGTTCTCCTACTCCAGGGGTTTGCAAAGAGAAACGGGATGGGAGGTGACTGGGCTGGCTGTCCCTGCTCCTCAGGCATTCCAGAGCAAAAGAGGGGCTAAAAATAGAAGGAATCTTTCCTCTGGGAAAAGGGCAGCTTGGCCTCTGCCCCAGGGGTGGGGGCACTGCCCTGGCATTTTGAATTGGTTCAAAAAGTCTTCTTGGGAGGGGGGCGGGGAATCATTACAGAAATATGAGATATTTATTAGTCCGTTGAAGGTGGGAGGAATTAGTGTTTGTGCTTCTGAGCTGTGTTACAGGGAATGAGCTGTTTGGGTCAGGATTTTAAACGTGTTCCAAACATTTGGGCCTTAAAGCAGTTGTGTTTGAGTGTGTTTGCTCCCCTCTGGCAGCCCTGGTTGGAGCCCAAGGCCCTCTCCCTCCGTGCTGCTGGATCTCCTCAGCCCCACACTGACTGCAGTTCCTGTGCTAATTTAATCCACTTGAGCCCTTTGGTCATTCCTATAATTAGACTTGTCTGCCATGTCCACAGAACACTTGGGAGATTTGCTGTGGTATCCTGGGTCTCTGCTCAGCTCTTGGTGGTTTCTTCTAAATCCAGAGCTGAGAACGGAGTCTCTGGCCTTAACTTTGGTACTGAAATAATTCATACTGCTCAGGTTAGGATTCTCCTTGCACTCCAGCATCGGAGAAGCCTTTCCAAGGAGCAGCTCCTGGTTGTTGCTCAGCCTTTGTGCTGGCCTCAGCTCATTACTGGAGCTGCTAATTGTGCCTGTGAGGGGCTCTGAGCTGTCTTTGGGCAGGGGCTCTCATTTCCAAAGCTGTGCTTAGAATTCCTTGTAATGCTGTTTCCCTGAGGCTGAGCTGATGAAGTATGACCACACTGCTTAAAGCACTTGCCAAATGGCTCTGGAAGGGAGCTGAGAAGGAGAATTTGGGAGCTCAGCACAGCCCAGGATGGAGCAGCAGCAGAACAAAGTGAAAAGCAGGACTTGCACTGCCAGGCACCAACAGAACCACCCTGACCTGACTGTCCTGCTCTGCCTGTTTCTCCACAGCTGGCATCCAGTGGGATTTTGCAGGATGAGTTTAATGCAAAAGAGACTAAACTGTGGTTTGGGGCAGGTACAAAATCCCTGGAGATCAGAACAGCTGACAGAAGGTGACATTCAAGGGGCTGTTCCCTGAGCCAAGGGAAGGTGGCTCCTCACTGTTTTACCTTATTTTTTTCCCCACAAACACAGGATTCAGTTGAGGTCTCTGAGCCATTCAGTCAAGTTAATTTTGTGTGAAATTTTGGAAGAAATGGAGTTGGGAATAAGCTTTTTAAACATAACTTTTTCCTTGTCTCTTGCTGCAGGGAAATCCAGCTCCTGCGGCGATTACGGCACAAAAACGTCATCCAGCTGGTAGATGTGTTGTACAACGAGGAGAAGCAGAAAATATATCCTTTTGCACAGGGCTGTTGATCAGGTTTGAAATCCCACTGTTCCCTGCTCTAGTTCTGCTTTTGGGAAGGCCCTTTTGGATGTTTCTTAGGCTTCCATTTTTGCAGCTAAATTGCTTTCACTGCCATTAACCATCCCGGCCACCTGGCAGACGTTCCACACAAACACAAATTCACACAGGCACTGATCAAGGCAATTTTATCCTCAGTTTGCTGGATTTTGTGTGACTGTGCCACACTGAGAGCACTTTTCCTGGAAGCAGTGTGGAAGTTCCTGGAGCTGATCCCTTGTAGCATGTGCTATAAACGGATGCTTTTATTTTTGACAGTGTTTTCTAACTACTGTCTTCTTATTACAGTACTCCAGAAAAGGAGTAATTTAATTGTGTGCGTTAATTAGATCAAACACTCTGCCACCAGATCATTAAGATAAAGCAGTGTGACAACTTCTGCTTGTGCTGTGGCCTCGACAGAGCGAGGGGACTGCAAGTCAATTACTGATAGAGAGATCCTGTTTAATTAGGTAGAAGGGAGGAGGCAGCATGGGGAAAAGGAGCCCGAGAGAGACATCGTGTGTCGGTACCAGGTGATGACAACCCAAAACCATCGCTGGGAAATGGGATCTCTCCAAGGATGCTCCTTGCTGGACTTTCTGAGCAGTGCTGGTCCAGAGCTGGTTTTCAGTGCTTTTCCCCTGCAAGGCCAGGTCGACTTTGTTATTTTTATCTTTATCTGCTCCTGCACTCTCACAAAGTTTGTTCCTTCCTGTGCTGGTTCTGGAATTTGGAACTGGGAGCAGGAATTCATCCATGATTTTGTTCAAACCCTTTCCCAGCTCCTGGCTGGCGCTGCCTGTGCTGCATGTCCTGGGCTGTGACAGAGCAGACCTTGAGCAGTCACACTGGGAACAGGTTTGGGAACGGATCCAGCAGAAAAGGCTGGATCCCTGAGGCTGCCCTGGGGGCAGGGCTTTAGTCATGCACAGGGCTGTGTTGGTTCCTTGCAGGAGGCAGAGTTGGGGTTTAGGGAGAGATGTCAACATTCCCCACTTGGTGATAAAAAAAATTAAAAAAATCCTCATTTCCAGACCAAGCATTGTGGGATTGGAAATTTGGGCCGTGGAAGGAAGGATTTTGTTCCCACCTGAGTGTTCTAATTGCAGTGCAGCCTTGAGCTGTTTGTCATAGAGTCACAGAATGGCTTGGGTTAAAAGGACATTAAAGCTCATCCCATTCCACCCCCTGCCATGGGCAGGGACACCTCCCACTATCCCAGGTTACTCCAAGCTCCATCCACCCTGGCCTTGGACACTTCCAGGCATCCAAGGGCAGCCACAGCTTCTCAGGGAAACCTATGCTAGGTTCTCACCATCCTCACAGGGAAGATTATTTTTCCTGATCTCCCGTCTAAACCCCTCTGTGTCAGCGTGAAGCAATTTCCACTTGTCCTGTCACTGCATGCTCTTGTAAAAAATCCCTCTCCCATCTTTCTTGTAGCAACTCACCTAATGAAAACCTTCAGTGATTTTCTGTGGGAAAGGGAAAGCTACGGTGACTAGATTAAAAATATCAACAGCTTTTAGTATTGAAGGGCTGTTTGCTGGCCTGCTGTGTCTGGGAGTGCAGAGCTGGTGGTGAATGGAGAGCTCATCCAGGCAGAAAATGAACCCAGTTCCATGAGCAGCATCCCAGGGATCCTGTTACCAGTGTGTACAGCTGAGCGTGGGAGCAGAACCCCTTGAGGAAGAGAACTGAGAGCTTGGGGCACCTGTAATAGATCTGCTCCAGCCTGGAAGGCTGTTCTCTAATCTGGTTGATCAAACCTGAAGTGGATCAGTGACCAGGGAGGGGTGAGGAGCAGCCTGGCTGTTAATGACACCCAGGCAGGCTGTCCTTGAGTCTCTTTGCTCCCCAGGAGCTGGTCTGGATTATCTCCCATCACTGTTATTCTCCTGACAGTGGGAGAGTTGATGTCTTCCACATCACTCTGATAGAAGTAGTTCAGAGATTTCTTCCAGAGTAAGAAAGGGTAGGAATGAATTCTGGGAGCTCTTTCTTCTGTTCTTCCTTTTATGGATTTACCGAGTGTCTTTGTGCCCATCATAAAATCTTGTTTAGGGTATATCTGGGGTATTTTATTTAGAGTATTTTAGGATCTCTCTGAAGAGCAGCTCATGGGGAAGGGAGCAGGAATTTAATGAGTTTTCAGTGTTTGGAGCTGGTAGGTGGAACATGCTGGAAAGGGGCAGCAGAGTCTTCAGCCCAGATCCCACACAGGGCAGGAGTCTTCCTTCTGCCTCTTCTACCTCAGGTGGCTTCTTGGGGAAAAAGTAACTTATTTTGGGTTCAGGTTAAGAAGGCACCTGCCTGGAGGAATAACTGACCATGCTCAGGATTGCAGGAGAGCCCTGACAGCCTCTGCTCTGTCAGGACACTCCCCAATGTCCCAGGGTCTGTACTCCCAGACTCCTCCAAGCCAGATTTTGCCTTCAAAAACCCAGGGAGAGGAGGAAACAGGCAGTCACAGCATCAGGCAGACTGGTTCCCATTATTTGGCCCCAACATTAAAGCTTACAGAGATAAAAACTGGAATATGCTACAAGGGAACAAATGCTGCAAAGTGCCACCAGCTCTTGGCTAAAGCTTTTATCCCTGTGGTTTCAAAAAGCTTCCCAACTCTCCAAGGATCCTTTTTCCTGCTACTGGAATACTCCTGTGGAGCTGGGGGTAAGCAGCAGCAGTTCCATAGAACACACAACTGGGTGTTTGGGATGTGGAATGAGGAATAACCAACTTTGGGGGAGGTGGTGGGAGCTCCCTGTCACCTGAGGTGCAGAACACCCAGGGCACTGGGGGAACGGGCTGCAGCTCTTCTGCCAAGCAGTTCCCAACTTTCTGTGCCCACTTCAGGGTATCTCCCTGTTCTCTGTCATGCCTGTGAGATCTCCAGCTTCTTTTCTGTGGAGTTCCCATCCTGTTCCTGGTCTGGTCACGGAGCTGCAGATGCTCATTTGGCAGAAGGATTTTCCTGTAGGTGCTTTCCTGTCCTGTGGGAGCTGGAGGAGCATCCCTCAGTACCTGAGGAGTGCAGCCATTCCCTCTGGGACAGGGCTGCTGCCCATCTGAGGAATGTTTAACACTGAGGAGTGTTAACCCTGGAGCTTCCTTAACTCTGCCCTCACGTATATGGTGATGGAGTACTGTGTGTGTGGGATGCAGGAAATGCTGGACAGTGTGCCAGAAAAGAGGTTTCCAGTGTTTCAGGCTCACGGGTAAGTTTTGTTCCTCTCCCCACTATGTTCTCTGGAGTGGAGAGCACGTTCTGCTCTGCTCAGGCTGCGTTTGAAGGCAAACCTACCTTTGTGCAATAATTTCATATTTTACACCCATACAAAAAAGTGAAAAGCTCTTGAAGTGGCCAGCAGGGATTGCCCTTAGATCCTGGAAGGAAAACCACCCTTCTGTTGATTTTTCTGTTATTTTTGTTTTACTTCTTGAGCTGCCCAACAGTCCCCCTCGAGTCCCTGTGCTCCTGCCTTGCCAAGGGTTGTGAGGGGGGAATCTCCTGACTAACTGAGGTCAAGCCACAATTCAGCATCAGGAAATATTTTAATGGGATGGATTAGGGATTGGCAATATCTGGTAAGCATGATCTGGTAGCTGGGGTAGTTAGCTGGGATAAACTGGAGCCCCTTTCACTCCTCAAGGAAAGAAACCTGAAAATTCTGGGAACAGATACAAATACATTGTCAAGATCAAATCAGGGCAGAGCAGCAATTCTGTGGCAACTACATAATTTTGTGGTCATATTTTAATTTTATTTTAAAAGATCTCTGAGATTGCAGACAGCCTAAGTGAAATTCAGGCACATTAATATTATTTCTGGGTATTATGAGATGACACACTTGCCTCTACAACTGCCAAGCTGTGTGTGGGTTACGATGATGGCCCAGAGTCTCTGAGTGCAGCAAAAAGCTCCTTTCTACTGGCTTAAAGTGTTTGACTTTTTTCCCCTCTACCTCTCTCTGCAGGTACTTTTGTCAGCTTATAGATGGCTTAGAATACTTGCACAGCCAAGGGATTGTCCACAAGGATATAAAACCGGGGAACCTCCTGCTAACAACCAATGGGACACTAAAAATATCCGATTTAGGCGTAGCAGAGGTATGTGAGAAGCACAGCAAAGTCAGAATGGGACATTGTAGATTGAGGTCACCTCTGTGGTGTCATTGATTTATTGTGCATTTAGGCCTTTGTTCTGTTGCACTTGCAGAGTGCTCTGAGTGACTCTGAATATTTATTGCAATTGGCAAAGCACTTCTTTTGTGCTTTTTTTCATGAAAAAAAGCATGAAAACCTCTGCTCAGGAAGCACAGAGAAGAAAGATGTCAATCTTGGACGAGCCCAAAAGTGGGGGGAAATGAGGATAAGCTACATAACCTTCTTTTTACATGGAGACTGTCTTAGGTATGAGAGATGGGAGACTTGTCACTGTGGCGTGTGGCAGCTGTGGTGGCATGATCTCATCATCCGTAGATGTTCAGTAGAGGAGTTTTCCCCTTTTGTTTCCCAGGTGGAACTTTTCCAGGAGTCACAGTTTGTTTTCCTTGGAAGCCTGACACTGTTTGTTCTCTCCTGCCACAGGCATTGCATCCATTTGCAGAGGATGACACGTGCAGGACGAGCCAAGGGTCGCCAGCATTCCAGCCTCCAGAAATTGCCAATGGCCTTGACACCTTTTCAGGCTTTAAAGTCGACATCTGGTCTGCGGGGGTGACGCTGTGAGTGCCCAGGAGCCCCCAGGAACTCTGTAACTAATGATACCCTCAGATAGCTCAGTCCTGGCCCAGCTCTGTCATCGCTGCTCTTGTGTGGTGGGGGGAGCTGAGAAGGGGTGCTGTTTGCTCTGTGGGTGGGTTTATGCTCCCCAAAGTACCTGTAATTCTGCACAAGGGGATCTTTGCTCTCCACAAGTGACTCTGCAGCTGTTGCTCAGCCCCCAGAGGCACAGCCAGGGCAGTAACAGAAACCACAAGTATCTCCAGTATTTATTTTTAAGTTTTTGCTGTCCCACACTGTCAGGGAGATGTCCTGGTGGTTTTGACCCCTGTGAATGAAAAGCTGTGATGAAGGCAGGCTAAGCTTAAAGAGGTTTTGCACATATTGCCAAATACTCCTCTTGGTTTCCTCTTGACTGCTTTTGGCTTACATGGTCAGGTAAGAACTGAGTATCTGTGTGCTGCTTCTCATCCTGCTTCTCCTTCTGCCTTCACAGATACAACATCACAACGGGTCTGTACCCTTTTGAAGGGGATAATATCTATAAATTATTTGAAAACATCGGGAAAGGCGACTACACAATTCCAGAGGATTGTGGTCCTCCACTCTCAGACTTACTGAGAGGTGAGTCTGGTTACAAAAGGGTAACATTTATAGATACAACAACTCCTCAGCTTGCACAGTGCCAGAGCTTCCTTCCAAGTGTCCTGTGAGGATATGGGATCCTGTTAGTCAGGGAGGTTATACTTGCAGCCTTACAGGACTCTGTCACATCTTCAGCACCGGTGTTTTCCTGAAATCCTCTGACCCCCTGCACAGCTCGCAGCCACTCCTGTATAGAGTTGGTTCTTGCATTGTTTCCTGTGCTCTGAGAAACCTTTACATCTAAAGACAAAGCCCACAAGAGGTTAAATTTAAGATGGCATAATAGCATTGGTGCAGGTTCAGACAGTGAGAGCACTCAGATGCTGTGTCCAGGCTTTCCCTAATGTCACACACTGAGTACTCAGGGTCTGCCATCCCTCCTCATCAACCTCTGCTCTGGACTTACTTGTCTCAGTCCCATTTGTCTCTTTCCCCCCCCAGTTTCAGAGCTGCATGATATTGGAGCAGTGACAGGTGCTCAGTTGCACAGCAGACCTGGGATAGGACCAGAAGTGGCACTTTCTGGGGAAAAAGTTGTGGAGTGTTTTGGTTTATTTTACTCCCGTCATTTATTGCAGCAGTTTGAGGTTTAGTGCAGAGCAGTCTCTACCTGTGGAAGCTGAGTGGTCAGGCAGGACAGCAGTTGTGCTGTGTGCAACCAGCAGCATGGTGAGCCCCTTTGGCAGGAGCTGGGATGTGATTCCAGCCTGTGGGAGAGCCTGACCAGCATTCCCAGTGCCTCCTCAGCAGCAGAAGAGTCAGATGCAGCCATGCTCCTCAGCCCTTGGCTCATCCTTTCCTTTCTCTTCAGCTCTTTGTGGGGAATCAGCCCCCAAATGTGGGATGTTTGTTTCACATTGGTTTTCCTGGTTCTTTTGCTCTGTGGGGTTGGTGAGGAGCTGGGGGCACTGAGTTCCTCCCTGCTGGCAGCGTGTCAGCTCTGCAGGCCCCACACTCCTGGTGCAGGGACAGGGCTCTGAGCTTGGTGCAGGGACACAGCTTTGGGCTTGGTTCAGGGACACAGCTCCTGGCTCAGGGCAGGGACACATCCTTGGTGCAGGGACAGGGCTCCGGGCTTGGTGCAGGGACACAGCTCTGGGCTCTGTGCAGGGACACAGCCTCGGTGCGGGGACAGGGCTCTGGGCTTGGTTCAGGGACACAGCCTCGGTGCAGGGACACAGCTCCGGGCTCTGTGCAGGGACACAGCTCCGGGCTCTGTGCAGGGACACAGCTCCGGGCTCTGTGCAGGGACACAGCTCCGGGCTCTGTGCAGGGACACAGCTCCGGGCTCTGTGCAGGGACACAGCTCCGGGCTCTGTGCAGGGACACAGCTCCGGGCTCTGTGCAGGGACACAGCTCCGGGCTCTGTGCAGGGACACAGCTCCGGGCTCTGTGCAGGGACACAGCTCCGGGCTCTGTGCAGGGACACAGCTCCGGGCTCTGTGCAGGGACACAGCTCCGGGCTCTGTGCAGGGACACAGCTCCGGGCTCTGTGCAGGGACACAGCTCCGGGCTCTGTGCAGGGACACAGCTCCGGGCTCTGTGCAGGGACACAGCTCCGGGCTCTGTGCAGGGACACAGCTCCTGGCTCTGTGCAGGGACACAGCTCCTGGCTCTGTGCAGGGACACAGCTCCTGGCTCTGTGCAGGGACACAGCTCCAGGCTCAGTTCAGGGCCCCAGCTCCTGGCTCCGTGCCGGCCGTGCCGGCGGCAGGTGGTGCTGTCAGTCCGAGTTCTTCCGCTGCCGCCGCCGGGGCTCCCCCGGCCCCTCGGCACCAAGGAGCTGCCAGACCCCCGCAGCCCCCCTCAGAGGCTATTTTAACTTCCCTGGCCCCATGCCAATGATGAAATCAGTTATTTCCATGTGTTTCCAAAAGCATTAGCCAGCTTTAGCAGCTTTCCGAAGGCGTTACATAAGGCAGCGCTTCCAATGGCACTCGGCACAGCCGGGATCCGGCTGCTCCACTGAGCCCGACACGACGAGCTCATGGCCTGATGTGCTTCACATTGTACCTGCCAGCCCCGGGGAACAGTGGCCTGAACTCCGTGTGGCATTTGGCTTCTGACTGCTGACTCCAAATGTGGCCTTTTAATGAGCTGGGAATCGCCCAAATGGAGCAAATCCTGCAGTCCTGTTGGTCCAGCAGCAGCTCTCCTAAAGCATCCAGCAGAGCTTCTTGGAGGTTTGTGATCAGCCTCTCAGCTGCACTTAGTGCTTCCCCCAGGGAAAAGGAGCGTGGCAGTTTTCTCTTTTCCTGTGCTGAGGATATTGACAGCTTAAAATCTTGTGCTTCATTAGCACAATAAATCCCCTCCTAGTTCTCTTCCCACCCCTGCGTGAGATCTGGAGCCAGAATTACCTACTCTTCCCTCTGCCTGATTTTGCATGGAGGAGCCTTGAGTCTGGTGCCCTTTGTCCATCTCTTACAGCCTGAGTCTCTTCTTGCATCCTCACTGCTGTCAGTTTGTCTGTCTGCATCCCTTCTGTGCTTGTGCACCACAGAGGTGGGAGTTGAGTGGGTTTGGTGAGGAGAGGAGCTTGTCTGGGAGGAGGTGGCTATACCCCTTTCCTTCAGGAAAGTGGGAACCCCTAAGGATCCCTTTTCCTGTCCTCTCTCCCACCTGAGATCAGTCTCCCACCCCTCATTTTGCTGTGTACAAACTGCTACATTGAAAAAGCTGGCAAAACCTTCTGATATTCCACTTGCTTGGTGTAAGACACATTTTCCAGTAGTCAGCATGCCAGGTGGCCTCGAGGCTGATAAATTTTGGGGTGGGATTGCCCCAGCTCTGCCTGCTCTGGAGGCCTGAGCAGCTCCCCAGCGTCTGCTGAGGCCCAGGGCTGAGCCGTGCAGTGGTGGCACCACGTAGCTATGGTGACAAACCTGGATCCTTTATTTAGTTCCTGCTGTTCCTCCCAAACATCTGCATTTCCTGGTCGATGCCCACTCCTCCTGCAGCAGGTTGGAGCTGAATCCATGGCCTGTGGATACTGTCAATGGCTGTGTTTGTGTGAGCAGCACAGACACCCCCAGCTCAGCTCTGTCGCTCTGGCGGTTTTGTCTCATCTTTGTGTTGCTTTGAAAGGCTCTAAAAGCCCTCACAGGGCTCTGAGTGCCTGGTCTGGATTTGAGTGAGACAGAATTCAGTGCAGCAAAGTGCTCATTTCCTCTGTCTGCCAAGGCTGTGCTGACCACAGGCCCCACAGCCGAGCTGTGAAGCAAACACAAACACACTTTGTAAGGATTTCTTGTTCTTCTGTTGACTACTTTTGTAGTGCGCCTTTACTTTTTCTTCCCCTTGAGCTTGTTCTTATCTTTGTTCCCCTTCTCCAGAACAGCAGAGTTTAGAGGACTTAAAGCTTCAGTGGTATTTGGCTTGTAAAGAGACTCGCATGACAGTATATCCTCCAGATTAGTTGGGATGCTGCTCCTCGTTTTGTCTCCCTAATCAGGGATGAAGCTTTATTTATACTCTTCAGGGATGGAAAGAAGGGCTGGTGCTGTTTTGTGTGTGCAGTCAGGAGAGATGTGTCAGAGTGGAAGAGTTTATAAATAACCTTAAGGTTCTTCTGGCAGCATTTGCCCATGTCTTATCAACTCTTGTGCACTTTGCTTCTGGACCAGAAAAATGCACAAAGTCAGCTTTCCTCCTCCTGCTCTAATAGACTTTTACTGGAAGAGGAAGCTCTGAGGCTGCAGCTCTGCATTAATCAGCATCTGGATTGATTTCCAAGCCCTGTGACCTGGGACATGGTGGTTGGATTCTCAGCAGTTTGTTTTCTCACTTCCATGACCTTTCCTTGCTGGGACAGTGAGAGGCTGTGTCCTGGTGACAGGGGGATGCTTTAATTCTGCTGTGGCGGGAGTCCCCAAGGACTGCCACATCCAGAGGCCTGTCCTGGATCACAGGCTTGAGATTTGCCTGCAGAGGGAGTTTGTGGCCAGAACAGCCAGCTGAGTGCAGGCAGAGGGAGAAGGTCCTGCCTCATTTACAGACTGGCCTCACACTGCTTTTACAGTGGTTGTTAAATGTTGATCCAAGTTGGAGACTGAAGTGGAATCCAGGTTGAGTTCATTAACCTTGCTGTTGGATTTCTTCCTGCTTCTCCAGGCCCACACCTGAGACTGTCCTGTGTTCTGAACTCCAGGAATTCTGCCCTGGAGCTGTGCCAGTCCAGGATCACTGAGTGTGTGGGCTCAGGGCAGATCCATGATCTCCAGTTTCTGGGTTGTCACTTGATGTGATTTGAAAGGGTTTTGAAGTAGTTGATGTGCTGCAGAGGACACGATACCCCTGTCTGGCCACGACTGTGTGGAGTCTGTTCTTATCAATTTAATACCTGATAATTCTCAATGAGAGGACTTCATATTTTAGGAATAATTTCCTCATGGAAAGATTTGTCAGTCATTGGAAAGGGCTGCCCAGTGAGGTTTGGAGCCCCCATCCCTGGAGGTCTCCAAGGAACACCTGGACATGACGCTCAGTGCTCTGCTCTGGGTGACAAGTCGGGGATCAGCCACAGGTTGAGCTCAGTGATTCTGTGACACCCCTGTAAGGGCACAGCAAATCCTCTGGGAATACCGGGGAGCAGAGATTGGAGTTGGGCCTCCTGAAGCGTTCCCTGGCACAGCCTCTCCCATCCCTGCTCGCAGATAAACTCCAGGGAAGTCTTTACCCTAAATGGCCGCAAGCGGCGGCTGCTGCGGGCAGACGCTCCGGGATGACTTGCCTGGTGAATAGAACATGATGTTTTGTCTTGCTGAAGCCTCTCTTCAGTGCAGGACTTGAGCCACGGAGCTGCCACGAGTGACTCAGAGCTGAATGCATGAATGTACATTTTCAGCAAGGGCACTTTCCGTTTTCTTTCAAATGTTGCCCCAAATGCGATCATTTTTCATTGAAGGAAAAATTCCTTTCCCTCCATTATGCTCATTCTGCCTTTTTAATGGCTTGAGAGCAACAGCTCCCTGTGCCATGGTTGTTTGTGACTACTGTTCTTGGGCCTCTTTTAATCATTTACCTTAAACTTCTCCTCCTGCTTGTACTGGTTTCATCTGGTAAATGCCTTAAATTTCAAAAACACCTTCAAGTGTGGTTTTTAAATAAATCAATGGGGGGAGTGGGTGGTGTCCTGACTTCCTTGTTTCTGACTACACTAATAAGAGAACCCAGTACTTGCTCTTGTCCCCTAAACTTCATGTGAGAACTCTTTGCAGCCCTATTTCTTAAAAAGAAAAAAAAAAAAAGTCAACTCATTTGGGCAGCTCAGCTGTGAAACTGTCTGATCATCTTATTAATAGGTTCTTTAATTAGGTGTGGGATTTTTTTTTTTCCTCTGAACTTATTTCTTTTTTTGTAAGGTGAGGAGAAATTCCATCTGAACGTGAGAAAACTCCTTTGCTGCTATGGTTGAGCTCTGGAATATGTTGCAGTGGTGGTGGGGGGGTTTGTAGAGTTTCCATCCTCAAAGACCTTCAAAACCAAGTCCAAACAATCTAAAACTCTGAGGAATTGGGCTCTGAGGACTCCAGTGCGTCGAGTTCCTGAGCCAGGAACCTGACCTGTGACCTGGAGAGCTCTTCCTGGATTGCTTTAACCTACTTCTTGTGATGTCATGTGGGTCAGTAGTGATCCCATCTGCCTTAAAGCTCTTAATGCTGTCACCAGCATGGATAAACCTTCCCAAATTGCCAGGGCAAAGTGTATTTTGGGTTCTGGCGGCAAAATAACTTTAAGTTTTTCCCCACTGTACTGTCCTGTCCCCCCTCTTTGCCCATGTCCTGATCTGATGTGATATGAACAGACTGACAGGGCAGATGTTCTGGAGCAGCTTTTGGTATCATATGTGCTGTGGTGATTTATCTCTTTGATGACCTTTGAATTGTAGGATCTCACCTGCAAGGCCCTTGCAGCTTCCTGCTTGTACTAGGATGTGTCTTTCCATCCCTCACTTCTCAAGTGTCCACTCAGATATGTTCTCAGCGTGACCTTGTCCTGGCTCTCCCCAGCACTCTGCACTGTTTGCTCCTGTCCTGATTGTCTCAATTCCTGTTTGACAGTGAGTGCTGCTTTCCAGAATTTTCTGGTTGCTGGAGATGGGTTCCTCCTTTTCCAACCCATCTCCAAACCCTCATTCTTCGTGCAACCTGTGCAAGACTTGACAGTGCAGGAGCAACAGGGGATCATCCAGTAAAAGCAAAATTCCTTGTAGTGTTCAGCCAGGCTTTGTTAATGTTCATTAGGTGAATAAATTCCTGGAACCTTCGTTGGAGAATCTTTTGGATGCTGCTGGATGTAACTCTCAGGGTTCCATTGGCTCATTTCTGAAGAATATGGCAAAATTTGCTCCTTCCCTTCTGTTGAGTTGTGAAGCTTCTGAAAGGCAGTGGAGCAGAGTGGGCATCCCAGGAGGCTGTTTAAGGAATCCTCCTCCCTCTTTCCCAAAGAGAATAGGGATGAGCTGCTTTTCCTCTCCCCACTCTGCTTGCCGCCCACCCCAGCTACCTCAGCAGATGATCCCAGAAATCCAAGTCCTGGCCAGGGCACAGGGATGGGCAGCAGGATGATTTTTTTTTTTTGTTCTCCCTGGCTGCACCTCAGAATAGAATTCTAGAATTCCACTAGACCAGAGGATCTGGGGCACTGAGCAAGTGGTCCCACACTATGCCTGAGGCTTTGGCTCTTCCATGGAGGAGGTTTAATGGAATTAGCTCTGAAATGCTAAATCTTGGAGACTTTCTTGGAGCTGTGATTGAGGGCTGGACAAACCTCAGTCTCTGCACTGAGAGGGAGGGAAGGGCTGTATCTGCCTTGCTGGTGGGAAGCTGAGGAACAGACTGGAACAGGTCAACAATGGGATTGGGATTTTATGCTGAGTTTCCCGTGGCCAATGGAGCAAATCCTGCCTGGAGCTGCCAGGACTGGACACAGCATGGCTGTTGAGGAGGGAGGGGGAGGGAAGGGCAGAGCTTTGTGCTTCCTGCCTTTGACTCAGCTGAGTGTCTGTGATCACACCTGGACTTTTTTCCTTCTTTTCAGGAATGCTTGAATACGACCCAGCCAAGAGGTTCTCAATACAGCAGATAAGGCAGCACAAGTGAGTGTTACCAGTCCTTCTCTTCCTGCTCCTCCTGTACCTGTGCTCCTGCTCTCACCTTCTGTTTCCTTTTGACAGCAGACACATGGAAGTCACTAGATCTCCTTCCTCCAGCTCTGCTGGGGCTCTGGCAACCTCCACTTGGCTTTTTTCCTCCTATTAGAGCATCCGGTGAAGCACTGGAATTGCTAACCAGTAAATAAGGAATATGTTGGAAGTCTGTTTGTGGCGTGCCTGCTTCTGGATAATTAAGGGTTCTGGATAATTTTTTCCAGAGGCCAGCAAGTACTAATGGAGCAGAACAGGAGGTCCTGAAGGCTGTGTTATTGAAGTAGGACTGTTCAGCAACGTGTGTTAGTTCTGGCCAGTCTGGGGACAGAAATATCCCCTGGTATTTGCTCCATATGGAGTCAGTATGTGGAAAAACATTCCAGGACAATAGGAAATTTTTTTTTTTTTTTTTCTCTTTAATATCACAGTCCTCCCTCCCCCATATCCTCCCCCATTTTCCGTGCCATAGTCAGGGGGGAAATGCCCCGTTATCACTGAGGGTTTTTTTAAGGATCTGTTTGAACACGCTGGCTCCGAGCAGAGATTTCCTGGGCGGATAAAAGTACAAGAACAAAAAGCATCATGAGGCTGCTTCACTGCGGAGGCTGCATTAGCTTATCTCCTCTTGGAATGGGAAGTGCTTCTGAGGACAGGCAGAGCTGCCTCTGGACTGCAGCTGCTCGTCCTGTGAGCCTGCCCAGATCCTTTTGGGAGCTGTAAAAGCAAGGATGTGATCCAGGGTGGTGCTGAGCCCAGTCCATGCTGCAGGAACAGCGCCAGAAAAGCAGGTCAAAAGCCAAAAGAGGTGCCCAAGGAGCCACAGCCAGAACCTGAGAGGCCTGAAGTGCATTGGGGTTCCACAGAGAGCGGATGGGACCAGCTCCAACAGGGATTGGAGGGACCAGAATGCAAGCAGGGCTGGAGGGGCAGGGTTGATGGAGCTGCCCAGGCGATCAATTAATTGTAAGGATGACTCTTTTGTAGTAGCCAAGCCCTGTGCCTGGGTTGTTTCAGGGGCTCTGGGTGCTGACGGGTGCAGGCGTCTTCCACTCGAGGCTGCCTTTCCCTGCACGTGCCTCCCAGTACCAGTGGCCATGACCAGAGGGGATCAGCTTGCCATGCTTTGTCAGGAAGCACTGCAAGGAAGCAGGAATTAAGTCTATGGAGTCATCTGTAGGTGTTAAGAAAAGCACTAAAAGCACTTCCCTTCCTGTGGCTGCAGTGGCCACCCCTGAGCTCAGGAACTGCCCTGGGCCCTCATGGGTCACTGCTGGGTGATGGAGCTGGTTCCCCAACCCCAGATACTCCATTTTACCCTCTTCCCACGTGGCAGTGATTTTTTGTGTCAGCGTTGCCCAGCTGGAAGCACAGAGGGGTCTCCAGAGACGCTGCCTGTAGTTAGAAATCCAGAGAAACTGGAGCACGCCTCTGGCACGGGGCAGCCACTGAGCTCCTCGGCTGCTGTGCCAAGGCTTTTCATCCCACAACACCGAGAGGGGCTGAGGAAAGGCTCTACCTGCAAACCCAGGAGCATTTCCAAGGCTTAGGCTCTTATTAGTTTTGTGTGAGCTTAGCCAGTGCTTCTTAACAGGCTTTTCTCCCCTATTAGTAATTGCCTCCTTCCTCCTGCTGTGGCATCTAGTAATTACATCAAGCACAGCAGAGCTTGCGGCCTGGGCCTTGGATGTGTCTGTCCAGCTTCTTTTTGTGCTAAAGAATCCAGAGCTTGGTTCTCCTGCCTTTTCTTTAAATAGAAGCTTAGCCCTGATGCTTAACCTGACCCTGTTTTTTTCTGTGTAAATGGAACACAGCCGTCAGGACAGCAGGCAGCCATTCGGGTATTGGCAGAGGGGTTTGGGAAAGCACTTTAGTAAGAAGAGGTTTGATTTCTAGAACCCTTAAATTTCATGTGTTGGGGGGGAGTAAATCATTAATGATTGTGGGTTTCTCTCTACTCCTCCTCCCAAAAGCATGTGCTAAAGACAGGAACTAAATCAGAGAAACATCAAGCAACTTCCCCATGCTGCCCTGCTGGGATGGATCCCGTCTCAAACCAGAATCACCCCGTGCCTTTCCATGCTGCTGGAAGTCTCCTTTTATGTCTTTGAGCTGCTGTTCCCAGGGACTCACTCATATGGACAGTCAGGATCATCAAAGTGCTCTGAAATCAGCAGGAGCAGCCCCCAGGCAGCAGTTTTGCACTCAGGCTGCTGGACCAGGCTCGTGTCAGGATGGTGGGGACAGTGTTCCCCTGCCCTGTGGGAAGGGTGATCCCAAGGGAAGCGTCACAGGGCGAGTGTCCTGCAGCCACAGAGTTCAGGATCCATCCTTCCCCACTTCACCTTCCATGAAGCTTGAAGGCCCTTGCAGTGGGATCAGGGATAAAATCAGTGGTTCAGGGGCACAGAGACATCATCAAGGGAGCACAGAGTGCTATTCCAGAGCTGCAGGGCGGCAGGGAAGGCATCCAGGCAGCCCAGCAATGGTAATCCAGCCATTCCTCCCATTTTTCCTGTCAGCTATTCCAAATGCTTTTGGCCTGCAGCAGCCAAGGAATGCTGGAGGAAGAGTCTGCTGAGTTTCATCCCTGCCAGCTGCCTTCCTCCCTCCTCACTCCTGCAGCTGAACTGCATCAAACTCCTGTCTCTGCACTTTTACTGGAGTGGGACAAAGCAAAATGCTGCTCTGTTCAACCCAGTCTGTGCAGAGCAGACCTGGAGCTGGAAATTGAAATGAGTTAAACTTCTCCCAGCCTGTCATCTCAGAGCTTAGGAACTGCTAGAAGTCAACCCCTGAATAGCAGTGGAAGAGCCTGAAAACCTGCTTTCCCTTGAAGGATCCGAGTGGGATGATGTTCAGTGAAAAACCAGTGCTGGTAGCTCAGTTCTGTGAATATTTGGTGCTCCTGGGATGGGGGTTGTAGGGCAGGGAAGAAAAGCTGCAAAGAGCCAGGGAGCTGCAACCTCCTCCCTATGGATTATCCACCACCTCCCCTCCGCCCTGTGCTTTTGCTGGAGGGCTTCCTGCTCATACATTGCGTTTTGTTACTAATTCACTGACCTGCTGCAGCACTTAAAGTGATGAAGTGGATGCAGAATTCTACCTCTGTCCCTTGTTTCCAAGGCAACCATCTTCCCTTCCCTCTCCACAAGTGTCACACTTAATTTGTTCAGGCGCAGATCCGATTGCAGGAGTTCATAGCACGAGAGGGGAGGCACTTCCACCTTTTATTAGTGGAGGTGCAAATTAACCTGCAGGGCTGGGGTCTCCTCCTGCCCTCCTGGAGCTGCTGTGCTGCCTTCCCCAGCACCTGTGGGGTTTGGAGTGTGGCTCTGGCATGCTGTGCTGTTCAAACCTGGGTACCAAACCCCTTGGAAATCTGTGTGGTGCTGCTCAGGTCTCCTTTTCAGGGGCTGGCTGTGCTCCTGGGCTGCCTTTGAGGGAGGTGGGGGTGCTTCTCTGAGCCTCTGCTGTTGCCTGTACACTCGTGGGCTTTCCCCATCCCTTCTCTGTAGTGCCAGGCAGTGATTTCTCCTCAGCAGGACACAAAGGAGCATTCCTCTTCCTTCCTGAGGCACCTGGCTCAATCTTCTCAACCCTCTGGCAGCACATGGAAGGGATCTTTCCTTCTCTTACCCACATTCTGCAAATCAGTTTTGTAATGTGGTGTGTTAAAGGACTGAATCTCCAGAACTCCTTGTAGGAGTCTGAGCCATCCCTGCCACTTTTAGTGGTCCTACCACCAGCTGGGAGAAACTGCTGGTTTCACACTTCTGTTTGTTCTGAACCTGACTGAAGAGCTTGGACATCTCTTGATCCAACAAGAGCTGGAGCAGTGATTGCAGGGACATTGCTGGCGTGTGTTGCCTTTCCCTGGGACATTTTGTGCCTTCCACGATTGCCTGTGAGGGAGCTGAGCTAAACTGGAACCTTGTTCATTGCTGCTTGTGGTGACAGTGACCTTCCAGGGAGCTCGAGGCCCTTACATGGCATCACAGGAGGTGGAGAATCGCTCGTCCTGACCCTGGCTGGCAGGGCAGGGATCTGCAGCTTGGCATCTGCTCTCAGAGAAAACCATCCCTGTGCAAACCAAGCCAACTGCAATGTTTGTGACCCAAATGGGAAGTGAATAGCTAGGAGTGTTGGAAAGCTGCAGCTGTGCTTACAAGATTCTTATTTTAACCTTGCTTATACCAGGACTTGAAAAGAGCAGAGGGAGGACTTGTGATGGGAGATCTGAGCTTGGGAGCTGCAAATCGAGCACTGCGCTCATTAAGCACTGGGCAACCCACATTCCTCTTTTTCCTTCAGTCCTTGACCCTTGCTGTCTTATCTCCCTGTGGCTGACAGCAGCCGTCTGGGCACCACTTCTGCCTGGCAGGATCACAATTAACGCTTGTGCCGCTGCTGGCCGGGGGTTCTGAGCTTTGCAGGCGCCTCAGTGAGCTTGTGGAATAGGAAGAAATAATCCTTTACTATGGCTGCCTTCACTCTGAAGCATTTTAAGCTACTCCCAGCCCTTTGAAACAGAGACCAGAGAGGAATCTGCCTCTTGCAGAGGGATGTTCTGCACAAGGGGCGCTTCTGAGATATCCAAAATGTTTTCTTCGCCCTCAGGGCTAAAGCAGCTGCCACAAGCACCAGGTAACTGTGTGTCTGCCAGTCCAGTTGGCTCAGGAAACATCCCTGAAACTGGGAAAAACTGGTGGAACAGGGCACTCATCAGCAGAACTCACACCAAGCCCATGTTTTGGGCCATGGTGAGGGCAGGGTCGAGGAGGGGCTTTATCTCATGGCCATCATTGACCAGGCAGTGCTGCTTTCTGGCTCAGGCAGTGGCTTCCTGAGGCAGCTGAGGGTGTTCCAAGAGCCAGTGGTCCTCAGCTGAAGAGCAAATCTTCAGTGACAACCTCCAGCACCAGCACAGAAAGCGGAATATCTGTCCCTGCTGGAAAATCCTTGCCAGGAAATACTCCACTATTCTGTACAGAATTGCTCGAGGCTCCTTCCAAGAGGTCTTTGATTTTTCTTAGAACTTCAATGGATTTCTCTTCTCACTCTCTATCCTCATTACCATATATGCATATGCAAGTGTTTGAAATCACCTCCCGGAGGATGGAAGCATAATGACTGGAGTACAGTGATTCAGGTTTCTGCTGCTAATAAAAACCTATTTTTACTCTCCTGGTAAGTAGGACAGGAGGGAAGAGTGAGGCAGAGCTGAAATACAGCAAAATAAAAACACCAGTTGCCATAGACTTCCAGGCTTTTTCCCTTTAAAATTCTCCTTTTAACAGCAGTCACTCTGATCTCATTTGTCCTGGATATTCCCTTCTCCCAAGGTCTCTGGTGTGGAGTTTGGATCCCTCAAGCCCCAGTGCCCCTGGCAAAACCAGCTGCTCCTCTGCCCCTGTTCTGCTGATCCTGCCAGGCTGGATCAGCCCAGGCTGGATTTGCTGTCTTGGCAGTCGCTTCCTCGATGAGCAGAGTCTCCAAGGAAGGGAAATGGATTGATCCCATTAGGAGAGCGGTGTGCTGTGCACGTCACCAAGGAATCCATCCGAGGAAGCCATCCTTGGGATCTGTGGGGAGCCCTGGGCCAGAATCCAGTTACTCTGGTCCTGCTCCCTTCCTGCCGGTCCAGCAGCTGGGATGGGCTTTGCTTAACTCCTGTAGTGCCCCTTCAGGGAGCAGAGGTGACAACTGCCAGCTGAGATCTGCAGCAATTCCTGTCCCTCTCCCCAAACAACACCTTCCTCCCTGCAGACAAGGGGCTGCCCGGCTCCAAAACTCCATTGCTGCAGAGAAAACAGTTTAAAGATGCTGATGGTGAAGCATTTTCTGGATGAGAGTTCACCCCTCCCTTGAATCCTGCCTGATTCGTCCCAGTAGCTGCATTTCCATTTGTTTATCTCCTCACTCCTCGCTTTTCCTGATAGTTTTGTTAGAATCCCACTTTTTTTTAGGCCGACTGTCAAAGCAGTGTAAGACTAGAACAAAATGATAATTACAGCTCTGCGCAGGAGGTGCCTTCAGCCTTCCTTCCTGAAAGGAATTTGGAACTGAGGTGATAAAAACCAGATGGCTCAGGTTGGTGAGAGTTCTTGGGCTGGCTCAGGCCCTCCTCCGTGGTTGGAGGCCAGGAGTTACTGGGTGCCAACTGCAGGGTGGAGGCACTTGTGTCCCATCAGGCTTGTGTGGGCTGGAAAGGTGTGTTAGAGGTACCTGGGTTTGGAGAAACCTCTGTTCCCACCCCTATTTAGGGGGTCACTGGGAGTGTGGAGGCTCAAGCAGCACTTCCAGGAAACTTTGGGTGCCCACATGCAGCACTGGGAGATGTCCCAGACAGTCTGGAGTCAGAGCTCTGCTATGGGAGTACAATGAAAACCTAAGAGGTTTATCCCATCTGGCTCTGGGATGCTGCTGGGAAGCAGCTTGCTGGATTCCTGATCTGATTAAGAACAGCTTTTGGAGCCGATATCCTTTCCTGGCCAGATGGCAGCACAGGGTTTGGTGGTGATAGGAGTCCCTTGAGACAGGGGGGGATAAAAAGATAAAGTAGAAGCGTTTCTGCTGTGGTCTTGGTGCAAACTGGCTTTTAGAGGAAACTGCTGCAGTAATTGCCCCTCTCCTCAGGCTGGGATCCTGCAAACTTGTGTCTGTTGGGCTGGATCAACCTCAGCTTCAGGATAGGGGAAGTTCCTTCTGTCCTGTTTGCTTGGATAATAAAACTCAGGAGCTCTGGCAGCTCTGCTGATGTGTTTTGACTTGAAGGTAGTTTGGGCTGGAGTTGGTGATGGAGAGAATGGTCCTGAGCTGCCCTCTGTGCCTGTCCCTCTGTTCCTTTCCTGTTCCCAGTGTGTCCTTCAGCACACTCCAATCCTGACACCTGGCCAGACCTTTTAGTTCCTCCTGACCTGCCGTGGGTGGAGCTCTCAGCTCGGAATATTGGGGTGGGCTGGGGCCATCCTCATTGGAGGCCTGCTGCATGCCTTGTGCACTGACCCAGCTCTGCCCTCGGGCTCTCTGCAGCTGGTTTAGGAAGAAACACGCTCAGGCAGAGGCGCTGGTGCCCATCCCTCCCAGCCCCGAGACGAAGGACAGGTGGAGGAGCATGACGGCGGTGCCTTACCTGGAAGATCTGCATGGCTACAATGAGGAAGAGGATGATGACTTGTATGACATTGAAGATGATATCATCTACACTCAGGACTTCACAGTACCAGGTAGGGGAGAAGTGGTGGTGGGGGATTTTTTTGTGTTTAAAGCTTTTTTTTTAGGAAAGGCCTCGAGATCCGAATAATCCTTTCAGCAGAGGAGGAGATTCTCGGTTGTGGAATGGTGTGAATGAGCCGTGGTGCTCCAGATTCCTCAATCCTTGATTTGATCAACCAGGATGCCCTTCCTGGTGTTACCCCTGTGCCAGCTTCTTCCCTTCTCCCAGGAACAGCTGCTGCTGGACTCTGCTGTTCAGCACAGTTAATTCTTTGGACCAGTTTTGCTAGAATGAATTATTTGTGAGCAGAGCTCTGAAATGACTCTGTCTCCAGGGTACGTGGCGCACCTGGGGGATTCCCTGCATGTTGGGAGACTGGTCCCAGCCTGGCCCTTGCCTTCCTCAGCTCCATGTCCATCCCAGCCAAGCAGGGTGAGCCCCATGCAGGCAGGTGTCTGAGGTTAAGAATCACACTGGAAGCAGTGACACCAGGAATTTCACCCTCCTCACACAAACAGTGGTGTTTAAACCCAAATCAGAGCTGTCATGGCAGATGACAGGCAGATTACTGAAAGATCTCCCATGTTCTCTATGTAATTTGTGCTGTTTCAGAGGGATTAGAGACCTAAAGGATGAGAGGGGCTGCTGAGGTGGGATGTGCAGTGTTTGTGGTGGGCAGGAATCCCTTCAACACTGGGAACACGCTCGTGGGAGGAGCAGGGTGAGGAGGGTCCCAGCACAGACCCTCGGTGGGTTTGTGGGGCATTGCAGAGATGGGGGCAGCTGCAGAGGGAATAAATATGAATTTTTCCACCAAAGTCTTCCTGCAGCATCCCTTTGAACCTGCCCAGTGCTGCATTTCTAGCAGTGATCCCATATTAAAATATAAATTAAAAGCCCCCTTGTACATGGGAGATCAGCTCAGCTGTGGCTCTGCTGGGCAGCCAGAGCAGGAGTGTGAGTGACTCATGGGTAGGGGTGGGTGTTGGGTTTGAGGGGAGGGGGGAAAGAGGAAACCTCATTAAATTCTGTGTTCTTCAGAGGAAGAAGGGGCTTTGAGGAAGTGCTTTCATTTTTAAAGGGTTATTTAAAGATTCATGCAGCTCTGTGGGGAGATGTAAATGTTCCAAGCCCCTGGTTCAATCGGTGTTAAACATCCCATCCAGGGAAGTGCAGGGAAGGGATGGAGGAGAGGAAGGCTGTGGCCTGGAGGCAGAATCCTCTCCCCACTCTTCATGCAGTGAAGGGATGTGCTGGTCCTGCTGCTTTTGTGTTGTCTTGGGTCTAGAGGCTGAGCTCTGCTCTTTCCTGTCCTACATTAACCCCTCCACTGCTGCAGCCCCATCCTGCAGCACCTGCTCCTGCATTTTTCAGTCTGAGGCTGGAAAATACAGCCAGGACTGGAGCTTCTGAGCCAAGCCTGGTGCTCAGGAAGGTGCATTCCTGGCTGCTCATGGTGCCTGTGTGCTCAGTCTGACAAACAGCGATTCAAAAGCTCTTTGTGGTGTTATTTCAAAACCTTTTTTGGTGCCTGAATGAGCTGGATGCAGAGCCATTAAGAATGTGAGGGGTGGCAGAGATGAGCAGGGATGAGCAGCCACGTTCCTGGTTCCTCTCTCAGCCCTCCCTTTATTTATTTTATTTTTAGCCCTGCTCGTGGTGAGGGTGAGGTGGGCAGGAGCTGCTCGGGCAGACACAGCGCTGGGTCAGCGGTTCCGCGGGGGCAGCAGTTGCCAAGACTTCAGCCCGTGCTGAATTTTTATTTTCATTAATTTGAACGTCAGCAACTGTCATTGGTGAAGGAGGTAAAATTAGCTCACGATTCACCTCCCTCCTTGGTATCCATAATAGACTCCCGGGACTGTGCTTTTGAAGCAAGGAAGGAGGGGAGGAGAGAAGAGTCACACAAAAGACAAATGAGCTGTTTGGATAGATTCTTTTTTCCCTCCCCAGTCAGAAATGTTAATTGACTTGGCCCGAGTTCAGCCGAGGGAGGGGAAGGAGAAGTGCTCAGCTTTGCTCTGAATGGGGTTGCTTGAGGCTCTGCAGTCGTGCCGGTGGGATGGAGGGATGGGAGGAAAAACCCGGAGCTCTGGGGGGCTGCAGCCAGGCTGACCCAAGGGAGCCCCCGAGGGAGCCCCATGCCTGGGGGCTCTGGGGCCAGTGTGTTCTTCTAGAACTTGGACCCCTGAGCCCTTTGCAGCCATCCCCCCTCCAGAGGGGTCAGGCACTGGAGGAATCCATAGCAGGGCCCTGAGTTTTGTGCTCCTGAGCCTCCTGCTGTGCCAGTGACTTCCAGAGTGCCAGAGGCACTGGCACATGCCCTGGGGGGGCCAGAGCACCCCCATCACTACAGCCCTTGTGGTGAGCTGGGCCAGGAGCTGTGCTGCTCTGCAGTGCCACCACAGTTCTGGGGTGGGTGCCCAGAACCAGGAGCTGTCTCTGGCCAGTCAGTTCCTGTCTGTTCCCGTGGCAGGAGTGCTCGGCTAAGCAGCCACAAGCCAGTGAGTGGGAGCTGTGGCAACGCTGGAGCCAGTGGGATGGATACAGGGGGAGATCCAGGAGGGGATGGATTGCACGTGTAACCCAGGATGCACCCACCCCTCCCTCCCCATCTCTGGCAGTGGCCAGGGATGATGTGGCAAGGCACAGGGGTCTGAGGAGAGACCCCCACTGTGCTCCCCCAGAGGAGAAGCAGCTCTCCCACCACCCCTGTGTGTCCCCCCCAGCTCCCAGCAGTGGGGTGATGCTGGCGCAAGCGGAGCTGACGTCCCGCCCGGCCTTGGCGGAGAAAGGATTGAGCATCCTTTAAAGAAAATTATACATAATCGTCTTACAGCCTTTGCTTCCACTCAAACCTCTGAGTCATAACTGAAGGGCCCTGGAGCGTGACGTTCCTGCTGGAAGGAAATTGCCTCGGCTGGATCCGGTGGGGGGGAGCCAGGGGCCTGAGGAAGCCTCTCCTCAGCCTTGTGTTGGGCTGGGGGCTGCGCCGCGTCCCGGTGGGAGCATCCCGGGATGCGGCCACGTCCCCCTGTCACTCCTCGACTGAGGGGATGTGACCCAAGGCCCGGCTGTGGCAGCAGGAGATGCCTCTGGAAGTGGCTCTTCACCTGCTCTGCTGAGTCACAGGGAGCTGAGGAGGGAGAGGGGCTGATGACACCCATCAGGGTGTTCCCTCAGGGGACAGTGACACACCTGAAGCCCTGCCGGCAGAGACTGCACTGCCCCGTTCTGCAAACACACACAGCCCCTGGGTACCCCAAAGTTGGTACCTGGGGCTGGCACCTGCAGAGAAGGCAGGAGGAAGGGGAATGACCTCGTCCACCGCTGCCCCTCTGCTCCCCAGAGGATCCAGGCTGCTGCCTGAGGTCTGGGGCAGGGCACACAGTCTGGGGAGGAGGGGACACTGTGTCTGTGTGCTGGGGACCAAACCAGTCCTCGAGGGGAGCAGGGAGGTGCAATCTCAGGCTCCCAGCCTTGCCCATCCAGGGTTGTGGATCCCTCCCCTGCGCTCCTCGCAGGCGCAGGAACAGGTTCAGATTTCCCTCAGGAGCAGGATCCATCCCGGACACCGGGAAGGGGATGCTCCCTGAGGTTCTGCTGCCACCCCCTCACTGTGGCCGTTCCCTTGCAGGACAGGTGCCTGAGGAGGAGGCCGGGCAGAACGGGCAGAGCCGCGGCAAGGGGCTGCCCAAGGCCGTGTGCATGAACGGGACGGAGCCGGGGCAGTTGAGCACCAGGGCCAAGGGCGAGCGCCGGGCCAGCGCCTCCTCCAACCCCTCCCGCAAGGCCTGCTCCGCCAGCAGCAAGATCCGCAAGCTGTCCACCTGCAAGCAGCAGTGAGCTCTGCCCAGGTACTGCTGGGGCACTGCCAGGGGCTGCCCGAGGGAGCGGGGACACATCCGAGCCTGCCCCAGCCATGGGCAGGGGGAGGGAGTTGAGGGGTGTTTTGTAGTCTGGGTCCTGAGCATCCCTCTGCAGAGTCCCTGGTACCCAAGGCCTGGATGCCCTGGGGGATGCAAAGCCCAGGGGAGACCCCCCCCCATGTCCTGCTTGTGCCCACCTGGCTCTGCTCTATTCTGCCCTGTCGTCTGAGACGTGCTGTAGTGATCCCTCTCTCCATTCCCTGGCACCAGCATCCCTCTGCCCTGCTCCCAGCCTCAAAATTGGATTTGGGGAGCACCAGGATTTGCCGAGCTCCAGGGTGTCCCCGGAGAGGCCCCCATGGGACCTGCCCCTGGCCCAGGAGATAGCCCTGTCACCCATGGCCAAGCCACTTCCAGGACAAGCTGAGCCCACTCCCTGCTTCCCCCCGCTCCTTCCTGCTCCTTCCTCCCCAGCTCCAAGCCCTGTCCCCTCCTTCCCACCCCTCATTCATAACAGAGCCAGCAGTGACTCATGTTCAGCCTCATCCGCCCCCGGCCTCATGCTCGTCACAGCGCTGCTGGGGCTGAGCTCTGTTATCTCCTGGATCACGACCAGCTTTGTGGTGTGAAAAAAGCCCGAAATAAAAGCCGGATCCTCCCCCTGCAGCTGTCAGAGGCCCGTGGCAGCTCCATCTTTAATTCATGGGGGCAGTGAGTCACCTGCGGGGAGTCAGTGCAGCCGGAGCCTGGGATGGGGCTCCCCTGGCCCTGCTGCTGCTCCTGCCCCTTCCTGCTCAGCTGCTGCTGGAAGGGGAAGCTCCGTGAGGGCTGCCCAAGCCTGGCTGGGTCACTCCCCCACTTAGCCTTTGGAAGGAAGGGAATGCTCCCCTTCTTGGCATACATGACTTTCCTTGGCACTGTTTTCTCCTCTGGGCTCACCTGGCTGAGGGACCATGTGGTGTAGGAGCCCCCAAACGTTCCAAGGACAACAGAGGCATCCTGAGCCCCTCGCTCCCATCCCAGGGTGCCAGAGGGAGCCCCGGGGCAGGGTGCAGGAGCAGAGCCAGCACCCCAAATAGGGCACCCTGTGCCCTCCCTAACCCCCTTCTCTCTGTTCTCCCCGCAGCGTCCCAGGCCAGCCTGCGTCCCCCTCCTCACCCCAGCTCTGCCTCTCTCCTGGGACTGGACTGTGCTTGCAATCCAAAAGGAAACCAGAGGAAGCCAACCAAGGAGCCCCCCCTTCCCTCCCTGCACCCCCTGCTCCGGCCAGCGCCAGGACACGAAGCTGCGGTGGCTGGACCTTCCCCACCAGACACCTGGAAGTTGAACTCTGCGGCTGCCAGGACGCTGCCCCCCTCCCCCCAATCACTCTTTGCCAATCAAGACACTGATTCTGTTTTTAATTTTGCGATGGGAAGGGTGGGATGAGGGGTTGGGGGGGTGGGACCCTCCCCCTTCCCCCTGCCGGGCCCCCCCCGGCCATGTAGAGTCGTGCAAAGCCATTGCCGTGCACTTTATGTTTTAGACTACTGTTATATATTATATATTTTCCTCTTTTTTTTTCTTTTTTTTTTTCTTTTTTTTTTGTTTTGTTTTGTTTTGTTTATATTTGCGGTATATTTAGAGATTCCTACACATCGTGATGTGTTAAAATAAACCAGATGAGGAAAAAAAAACCAAACAAACAGGTATTAAGATAAAGCAGAACTCTATTACACCTGCATGCTGCACGGGGGCTCAGAGGGGCTCAGAAGGGAACAGGGCCCAGGAAGGGCTCAGAGTTTGGGAGGAATCCAAAGGGATTGGGGCGCTGGCAGCCACTTGGCTTTTTTTCTGCTTTTTTTTTTTTTCTTTTTTTTTATTTTTTCCCTCCTTTTTTTTTTTTCTTTTTTTAAAGAAAAATAAAGTGAAAACAGCAGGTGGGTTTCATGTCCTTCCTCCTGCAGCAGGTGGGCACGACCAGCCCCTCCTCCTCCTTTTCCTTTTGGAAAGGCACAGCCCCCGCAGGCAAACCCTACACTTGTGGGGCAATGCCAGGCCTGGAGCCCCCCTGCCCCAACCCTCCCACCCCACAACAGGCACCATCCCAGGGGGCAGAAGGTAAGAAAAGAGCTCAGAGACGTCACGGTTGGTTTTGGTTTTTCTCCTTTGTTTATAGACTTAAAAACGCAGAGGTGATGGAGGGAGGGCTTTGGGCAGAGCCTGCGCAGAGGGAAGGAGCAACCCGGCCTCTACTCGCATGCAATGGGGGTTTGGGGGGGCCCTGCCTGTCCCCCCCCCGCTGCCGAGTCCCAGGTGCCACAGCCAGGGCTGGGCTGGGGCGGTTTCTTTTTTTTTTTTCTCTTTTTCACCCATCCTTTGAAACACAAATAAAAACCCAATAAAAAGCAAACACACCCCACCCCCTGCACCCCGGAGCAGCAGCCACCTCTGTAAAAATCAATAAATATCCTCGAGCCCCCACTGAGCTCCTGGGGTCGTGGGGGGCACTGGGGGTCACCCACAGCACACGCTGGGGATGCCCCACTCTGCTGTCCCCCTGTACCCTGGGCCAGGGGGCAGCACCAGGGGCAGGCACCAGGCAGCCCCCACCCCTCCGGGGGGTATTTTTGGGGTCGATCCTGCCCCCCCCAGCCCTTGGGCTGCCACTTTGGGGCCCCCCAAGCGGTGCTTGAGCCCCTCAAGAATCCCCTTGGCCCAGGCCCCCTGCTTCCAGTTTAGATCCCAGGCTCCCTGCAGATCTTGGGCAGGAGGGGTTTGGGATTGAGGAGGTGACTTCCCCCCTCCCCAAACTGCCCCCTGGCCAGGGTGGCACCGCAGCATCCCCGGAGCGGGGACACCCAGCTCCGGCCCCTTCCTGGCGGGGACATTCCCGGCCGGACGAGAGGCTTATTGCTTGTAAAACCACGGAGAGAGGGGAGAGCGGAGGTGCCACGGGGGCTCAGCGGGGTGGGAGCTTCAGTAAAGTCCCTCAGCGCTGACCCCCGGCCAACGCTGGGCTTCTCCTCCGTGCCCCGACCCCCGGGGCTCCCCCAGCCCGGGCCCTCGCTCCCGGGAGCCGGGGGGCTCGGCCACCCCACGCTACCGGACCCCCCGTGCTGGGGGTACAGCCAGGGGCCCCCACGTGCCCTCCTGGCCTCCCCGGGCCAGGATCCCTTCCCGCACCGGGCACCCCGTGCCGGCAGCAGGAGGGGATGGAGCCCCGAACCCTGGTGGGGGCCGAGCCCCCCCGCCCCGTGCTGGGCTCTCTCCCCCTCACGCTGGGCCTAGACCGTGCTGTGGTCAGGGGGGGCATCACTGGCTGCCACGGCCACCGTGCACTCGGGGGTCTCTCTCTCTGCCGCTTTCCTCAGGTGCCCATAGAGCCGCTCCTCCAGGCCGCCGGCGATCTTGTCCATCAGCTCCGAGCCGGAGCCCAGCCCCAAGCACCTCCCGGGGCCGGGGCAGTCATCGTCCTCAAGGGGCTCGGAGCCAGCCTTGGGCTCGGGGGCTGCCTCTCCGGGCTCCTCCACGATCACCTGGATCTCGGGGTCAGGCAGCGCCGGGGCAGGGGGGACCCCATCGGCCGCCTCGGCCGCCTCCTCGTCGCCGGCGCTGACGATGCGGGGCAGGGGACTGTGGAACCGGGAGTCCAGGGGATAATTGGCGCTGTCGCCGCGGCGCAGGGGCGTCCGGTGCCGCTCCAGCGCCGGGTACCGCACGCCGGGGTCGCTGAACTGCTTGGTGTGCTGCCACTGCTTGCGCAGGTGCGTGCGGGAGCGGTGCTTCCCCCGCAGCGGAGACTCGTCGAACTGCGGGTCGTGGCGCACGAAGGCGTTGAACAGCGCGTCCGTCTTCTCGTCGATGCTGTAGTCCCGCCGGGGCAGCCCCTCCCGCCCCGGGAACATCTGCCCGTACGGGGACCAGGCCAGGGGGCTGTGGGGACGGAGGTGTCCCCCACCCGCTGCGCCCAGGGTCGTGCTCCCCCCCTCCTCCTCTTCCTCATCTTCCTCCTCCTCCTCCTCCTCCGGCTCCCGGCCCTCGAAGCTCTCGAAGATGGTTCCTTTCCGCCCGGCGCTGGTGAAGCAAATGCGCTTCTCGGAGGCCGTCTGGTCCTTGGGGGGGCCCTCCTCGCCCCCCCGGCTGGGCGCCTCGATGGAGGCGTAGCCGCTGTCCATCTGCAGCAGCTTGCGTGTGCCGGGCTCCGACTCCTCCGGCTTGGGCCGACCCCAGAACTTCTCCTCGGGGCCTTCAGCCTCGTCCAGGGAAGGGGAGGGGCAGGGGGGCACGCCGCTGGCGGAGGAGACGCTGTCCCCGCCGTCGCTGCGCACCGAGTCCTGGTCGTTGCTGCGCTCGGAGGCCGCGTACAGCTCCAGCGAGGCGCGCAGGCTCCAGATGTCGTGGTAGGCGCTGGGCTGCTCGGGCACGCCGGACTCGCCCGGGCTGCCCGCGCCGCCCTCGCCCGGCTCTAGCCTGCGGGCACCACCCCGGTGTCACGTCAGGGACCGGACAGACCCCGCAGGCAGCGGGCAGTGATGTGCCAGCCCGGCCCCTGCAGGCTCCACAGCGGTGCCGTGGTGCCACCCGCTCCTCCATGCTGTCCCCACCACCGTGCCCGTGCCCCAACCCAACCTCCCCATCACCAGCAACCCCCCCGGACCCCTCACCCCAGACCCGGCTGCCCCACCAGAGCCGTAGAGGTGGGAGCCCCCCATGCCCAGGGCAGCACGGGGGTCCCTCGGTGCCTTCCCGGTGCCCGGCTCACCCATCCCCGTCCCCTCTTATCTACTGAAAAATACCTGCCGAGAGAGGGTGGGGGGCTGGCGGGGGAGGGCAGGAAGGGGCCCCCCGCGGGGTGGAAGGCCACGTCATCCGTGTGGGCAATGTACTGGATGATGTCGGTCTGATGGGGGTCCCGGTCCTCTTGGTCCATGCTCTCGCTGGCTGCCCGCTGCCTCTGGAACTGCCGGCGCTTGGGGGACCCTGGGGGGCGCAGGGCAGGGCTGGGGGGGAAAACCCAACCGGCACCACCAGCCCCCCACCCACACATGTCCACGTCCCCCTGCACGGCCCCGCGGGGCCCCCGCTGACCCCCACCTCTGGTGTCCAGGCTGGACGCCCGCTGGGTGCTCTCCAGCTTCCACTTCTTGATCCTGAAGTAGGGGCTGGCCCCGTCCAGGCTGGCGTGGCGACGCAGGCGGGTGAAGAACTGCAGGACGGTGCCCTGGGGAGGGGTCGGGGGGGGCTCCCCGGGGCCGGCACTGCCCGCCCCAGCACTCCTGGGTGCTGCTGTGAACTGGGGGCATGGGGGGCCGTGAGTGCCGGCTCGGACCCAAGCATGCCCCCCGCCCCAGCCCCCCCGAATCCCACTCGGCTCCTTTGTCCGCTCCGCAGAGCTGGGCTGCAGCAGATGCACAAATGTCCCCCGGGGCAGGGATGAGGCGGGGGGGGGGGGGGGGGGGGGGGGCAGAGCCTGTTTCTAGCTGGATGCCCACGTCTCTCCCTGAGCCCTGGCACGGAGCGGGGGGGCAGGGCTGGGATCTGGAGGAGCAAGGAGGGAGCAGGACAGGACACTTGGGGCTGTGCAGGCTGGGAGCCCCTTCCCCCGGCCAGTCCCGGCCCCCGCCCCAGCACTCACCGAGGGCCCCTCCCCGGAGTCGGAGGAGGCGGACGGGCTGGCCTCTGTGAAGCTGGTGTCCACGGTGGAGTTGTAGGTGTCCCCGGGCAGGGCAGAGCTGGGGCCCACGGCATGGCTGGGGAGCACTGGCCGGGGCAGGGCTCCTGCGGGGGTCTGCAAGGCAGAGCACGCTCAGGGGGTCTGCACGAGAGTGGGGACCAGGAGGGGCCCCTGCACCCCAGAACCTCCTGTGTCTTCCAGCAATGCCCTGAGACTCCCACCCTGGGCCCAGCAGTGCCTCCCTGGGGTGCTGTAGGACACCTGGCCCCCATGTCCCACCTGTCCCTCGGGGGCTGGGGGCTCACCTGGAAGATGGCAAGACCAGGCTTGGGCGGGGGCAGGCGGGGGGTCATGGCCAGGCTGTTCTCACTGGACTCACACTCGTGGATGGTGACAATCTTGAGGGCAGGCGGCGGGAGGTGCAGGTGAGTCAGGCGGGCGTTCTTCAGGTGGTGGAAGTCCCCCTCTGTCAGTGTGTACCTGTGGGACAGCTGGGTCAGGAGGGGAAGCCCCAACCCCCTGTCCCCCACTCAGCTCAGAGCTTCACCTCCTCCCCTTCTCCTGGGACTTCTTGCCCTGCTCAAAGAGCGCGGCCTCGTTGAAGGAGACGCGCCGGGCAGTGGAGGAGCTGGAGGACAGGAACCGCTCGCTCTCCGCATCCCGGTAGCTGGAGGACGACAGGCACTCGGGGTCCTCCGCTTTGCCGGTGATATCTGCAGAGAAGGGGGTCAGCAGTGTCCTCCCCCACCGTGGTGCTCCCCAGCTTCCCCAGCTGAGGCTTGGCAAACTTGCTGCCCTCATGGCCTCAATGCCAACCTGGAATTCCCTGCTGCCAGTCCCGCGCCACAGCCAGGGATGGACAATGGGGGGCACAAGGGGTGTGTGGTGGTCACTGTCATGGGGCCGGGGGCTGCACCTTGGGAGGGGAGGGACCAGGAGCTGCCTCAACCCCCTCCCCAGAACCTGGGATGCAGCTGGGGGCGGTCAGCGCAGGTCACTCACCCTGTGCCTGCTGCGAGTCATCCAGGTAAGTGGTGTTGGTTTTCTCGGGGTCATCGCTGGCTCTGCAGGGGGAAGAGGGTCAGAGGTGCCCAGGCCAGCCCCCCCACCCCCGACCCTCCTCGCGGTGCCACACACCCCGGGGACAGTGGCATCACCCCTTGCCCACCTGGAGTGCCGGCGGTCGGCCTCGCAGCAGCGGCGGCAGATGATCAGGATGCCCGAGAGCAGGACCAGTGTGCCCCCGATGAAGATGGAGAGCAGGGCGAGGAGCAGCACGTACCCATCCTGAGGGGACACCTCGCCGGGCACCGCCTGCCCGAGGCCGAGGAGCTGAACCGCGGGGACCTCGGCCCACCCCAAACCTGCCCCCACCGCGCTGACGCCAGCGCTGCTCCCCAGAGCCGCCGCGCCCCCCCACCCCCCGCCGCCCCCGGGCCCTGCCTGCACCAAGGCAACGGCAGACGGGGGGGCTGAGCCGCCCGCGGCCCCCGCGCCGAGAGGGAGTGGGAACGGGGTTGGGGATGGGGACGGCGACGGGACCCCCAACCCTGCCCCACCGCCGGGGTCGGTGCTCGCTCTCCCTGCCCGGGGGAGAGGGGCTGATCCGGCAGCAGCCCCCAGGCCGCTGGACCCCCAGAGCATCCCAGCAGTGCCCAGGACACGGAGAGCTGTCACCCACTCACGGCACTGGCAGAGCAGGGGGTGACAGCAGGGCTGCTGCCGTGTCCCCCCGAGCGACGACGCCAGCCCCACGGCAGCGACGAGAACCCACAGCTCCCAACATGCATTCCCCCTCCCGCGGGAGGCTGGCGGCGTGGGGAGGGGCGGCACAGACAGGCAGAGACAGGCAGGACTCACCGTGGCGCTCTCGGTCGCGTTGTCCCAGGGTGTTGGGTCATCGCTCATGGTCTGTCCCGGCCCGAGCGTGTCCTGGGACGGGGGGAGACAGAGGGAGGCACCGGCCGGGACGGCGGGGCCGGGCCGGGGGCGGCGGTGGCGGCTCCTGCCCGGCCCCTGCCCGGCACCGCGGTGCGGAGCTGCCGGGAGGGACCGGGAGGGAGGGACCGGGATGGAGAGATGGAGGGAGGGACCGGGATGGAGGGATGAAGGGAGGGTGTGCTCAGGGGAAGGATGAAGGGATGGAGGGTGTGGTCAGGAGGGAAGCAGGGATGGACGGATGGAAGGATGGGGAGGAGGGGGCAGAACCGCTGCCCCTCCCCAGAGAGCCCCTCACCCCCCGCCGGGCACAGCCTCCCCCCGCTCCCAGCCCCCGGAGCACAGAGCGGCCACGGTCCCCACGCCCGGCTGGGGCCGGAGCCCCCAAACGGTGGCTGGTGCTGGTGGCCAGAGCTGGCCCGGGGGGTGAAGTCCCTGCCCCAGGTCCGGGGTGACACCGCGCTGCCGTCCCCGGGGACCAAACGCAGCCCCAGCCCCGCCGCCGAGGGACCCCCTGCCCGCGGAAGCTCGGGGGGAGCCGCGCTGGGGGCTCCCGGCAGGGATGGGGGGCAGGTGGCCGCCCCACAGCTCGTGGCGTGGGTGTCGCCGGAGCGCGACGGGTGACGCTCGTGAGTCATCCCGAGAGCGGCTCCGTCACCGGGCTGTCCGCGCGGGGGGGACACCGGGGGGCCGGAGGGGCCGGGCCGAGCTCCTGAGGAGCCAGAGCCACCAGGACAGGGGTCCCACTCCCCTCCGCGGCATCGGCCCTGCGGCCTCTGGGGACCCGGCGGGGACCTCGTCACCCTCTTGCGTGTCCGGCCCTTCCCGGGGGCTGCCGAGCTCCAGCTCCCGCTGCGAGGCCGTGGGTCCCCTCCGTGGGTCCCCTCCGTGGGTCCCCTCCGTGGGTCCCCAGGCTGCTGAAGGGGCTGAGCCTGAGCTGGGTGGGCGATGCTGTGTCGGAGACCCCCGGAGCGGGCAGGGGTGGGCACTTGGAAGCCGCTCAAAATTAGGTCAGTGAAAAATGTGAATGGAGCCCGTGAAGGGGTGGGGACTGTCACTCGTGGGGACAGCGCAGGGGTGGCCGTGTCGCAGCTGGCAGTGAGGGACGGTGATGGCTGAGGCTGCCCTGTCACAGGTTGGGGTATCAACCCCTTGGAGTGATATCGGGGTGTCGGGGGCCTCCCGAGGCGGAGGATCCCCTGCCCACACCGGCCCTCGGGCATCTCCAAGCTGGTGGGATGCAGCACGAGGTGAAGGGACCCATCCCGCGACCCCTGAGAAAGGGTAAGGGGGTGGGGGTCCCGCTTCCGACCACATGGGGGGACCCCGGGCGAGGGGCTGCGGCTCCACGCGGGATGAGCGCCCCACGGGGGGGATCCCTATGGGACATCCTCAGGCCCCAGGCGGGGGGCGCGGGGGGCCGGGGGAGCGGGAAGAATGTCCCTCCTGTTCCCCATCATGGAGGAATCCCGTCTCCATGGCGACCCGGCAGGAACAGGACGGCCATTGTCTGGAGGAGGGGGCCGGTCCCCGGGCTGTCCCCCCCGGGGGGGGCACGGGGCGGGACCCGGGGTCGCCGCCAGTGCCCGGGGCGGGGGCTCGGGGTCGGGGGACCCCGGTGGTGCCGCGCCTCCGCACGTGGGAAGGGGGGCGGGTGGCGGGCCGGGGCTGCGCCCCACGCGTGTGTGCGACCCACGGGGTCCCGCTGGACCGGGGATGGGCTGGGGGCGGGGGGGGGACCCGCTCTGCCCCCTGTGACTGCAGGCCCGCGCCCCAGCCCGGTGACGGGGATGCAGTCAGGGATGTGGGGCGGGGATGGAGGCAGGGATGCGGGATGCAGGTAGGGATGGATGCGGGATGCAGGCAGGAATGTGGGGCAGGGATGGAGACAGGCATGTAGGATGCGCGATGAGGGATGCGGGCAGGGATGTGGGACAGGGACGTGGGGCAGGGATAAGGGATGCAGGCAGAGCTGGTGACAGGGCTGCCGAAAGGGCTGGTGACAGCGAGGCAGGAGCCCCCGGGACCTCTACGCGCGGTAGGGCGTGATGGTCTCCCCTCGGCCGGGCCGGCTCCCTGTGTCGCGATAGGGGCTGTTGCGAGGCGGCGGAGCCAGACACTCACCTACAACCGAGACCGGGGCTCCATCGCCGCCGCTGCGCTCGGTGCGGCGGGGCGGCCCCGGGATTTATGAATGAACCGGAGCCGCCCCCGCGCGGCGCGGGCGTCACGTGGGGACAGGGGCTGCCCCAGCCCTGCCTGCACCAGCCCTGCCTGTCCCCCCTGCCCCTCTGCCTGTCCCCCCTGCCCCTCTGCCTGCCCCACAGTCCTGCTCTAACTCCTGCCTGCACCTCTGCCCGTACCTCTGCTTTTATTCTTGCCTGCCCCAGCCCTGACTACACCTGTCGGCCCCAGCCCTGACTGCACTCCTGCTTGCATCCCTGCCTGCACCAGCCCTGCCTACATCAGCCCTGCCTCCACCGCTGCCCTCACACCTGTCTGCACCAGTCCCGCCTGCACCTCCTCTACCTGCATCTCCACCTGCATCCCTGCCTGCATCCCTGCCTGCATCCCTGCCTGTACCACTCCTGCCTCTACCTCTGCCTGCCCCATACCCCCGTCTGCGTTCCTGTCCCACCTCCCTGTCTCCATCCTCGCCCCGGAGCTCCCCGAGCCGCTGAGGCACGGCCGGACCGGGGCCGGGGTTGCGGCGGCCCCTCGGTGCGGAGGCGGAGCGGGCCCCCCCCTCCCAGCACCACGACACCCGGCAGGCGGAGAAGACTACAACTCCCATAAGGCCAGGCGGTGCATCGTGACGCTTTTCCTCCGCCGGGCGGCGCGCGGGGTGCGCCGGGAGCTGTGGTCCGGCTCCGTCCCGGCCTGCCCCGCGCCGCCGCCGCTGCCGCCATGGCTGCGATGTTCTGCGCCCGCCGCCTCCTCCGCCTCGCCCGCCCCGCGCTGCCGCTGCCCCCAGCTCGCGGCTATGCCGATCCCGCCGGCGGCCCCGCTGCCATGGCCTTCACCTTCGCCTCACCCACACAGGTAGGCCCGCCCTGGCCCCGGTCCCGGTGTCCCCGCCGCCGCCTCGCCCGGTGTCTCCTGAGGGCCCGGGGCGGGCGGGACGCGGCCGGTGCTGCCGCCCCCGCGGGGCTGTCCATTCCCGGGGGCTCTGCGGTTCCCGGGGCACGGCCGGGCTGTCACCGGGCTGTCACCGGGCTGACCTTGGCCCTGACCTCGGGCCTTGCCCGCCTGCCCCGGGCGCTCGGTCCCCGCCGCCGCGCTCCCGGGGCCTGCCTGAGGCCGGTCCAGCCCTTCCAGCCCCGCTGTGCCTGCCAGGCCCGGCCCCGCCGCAGCGCCGCCGGCCCGGAGCGGGACACGGCCGGTCCGCCCCCGCCGGGCCCAGGGCTGTCCCCGGGGCAGGGCGCGGGCTGGGGACAGGGACAGCCCGGCAGCGTGGGCCGGAGCGGGGCCGGCAGCTCAGGGCTCCCCACGCGCTTCCCAGGCTGCTCCCGGCTGTGCCGGCGCCACTCGCCCACTCCCGACTCGGTGTCTCCATGTGCCGCCTCCCCGCCGTGCCCCTGGGAGCTGGGAACGCTTCCCTGCTGCCTTTGCCAGGACCTCTCCGCAGCCCGGCTCCGCTCCCACCCTGTGCAGGTGCAGCCTGTCCTGGGCACACCTTGGCATGCTGAACCTGCCAGGAGCTGGGCTGCTCCCTCGGGATGCGCTCTTCCCCGGGCTCTCCATCCCCCCATCCCTAGTGACTCTGCCTCTTTGCCCTCTTCGTCCAGGTGTTCTACAACGGTGCCAACGTGAAGCAGGTGGATGTGCCCACGCTGACCGGCTCCTTTGGCATCCTGGCATCCCATGTTCCCACGCTCCAGGTGCTCCGGCCGGGCGTTGTCACAGTCCACGCTGAGGATGGGACGGCCACCAAGTACTTTGGTGAGCGAGGCAGGAGCTGGGGAGGAAAGGTGTGCGTGAGGATGATGTTCTTGGCACTTGCACAAGGGATGTTCTGCCCATCCAGGTGTGGCCTGGTGCACTTCCAGGGATTTCTGCTTTCCCAGCCTGCCAAGGGCTGCTGGAAGCTGCTGTGGGAGCCGTGGGCCGGGGTCAGGTCTTGGTTCTGCTCAGGCTCTCTGGGAGCTTCCCCTGCTCCAGCTTGTCTTGGGGTGGGAGCTGAGTCCCTGAATGCTGGAAATGTGACAGAACAGGGCTGAGGGTTTGTTTTGGGAAAGGATGGTGGGGATGCCAGGGCTGAGCCCCTCTGGCAGCCTTGGCTGACCCACCCCATGTTGTGCCTCGCAGTGAGCAGTGGCTCTGTCACTGTCCACGCTGACTCCACGGTGCAGGTGCTGGCAGAGGAGGCAGTGACCATGGACATGCTGGACCTGGCTGTGAGTACCCAGACATTTCACCAGCCCTGGGCTCTCTCCCTGGGGAGGATTTTTCCCCCTTCTCTGCTCTGGGGTCTTTGTCTTAGGAGCTTCCAGTGCCCAGAACCCAGGGTTGTGTCTGCACCCCCACTACATTTTGGGAACAGAGGCTTGGGGCTCCTCCTTGGTGAAGTCTCTGGAGAGAAGGAGGTCTGCAGTCATAAATCTCCATGCCTTTTCCCACCCCATGAACAAACACTGACCTTGTCCTCACCTCCAGAACAGCTTTTCCCTGCTGATAAAGTGTCTGGGGCCAGCACAGCTGTGTTTGTAGCTCTGTGGGGCTCCCAAGTCAGTGGGAGCACATGAAGGACCTTGGCATCCATATGAAGGACCAGTGGCTGCAAGGGAGGGAGGGAAGGACAATCCCCTCTCTTGGAGTGTCTCCCAATGACACACATTCTTTGTGCCCTCATGTCCAGACTGCGAAATCCAACCTGGAGAAAGCTGTGTCAGAGATGGCAGCAGCGTCCGATGAAGCTGCTAAAGCAGAAGCTCAGATTAAGGTAGAAGCTAATGAAGCTCTGGTAAAGG